AATAGTAGATTTCACTTAACAAATTTTTGATGGTTAACAGCGATAAGGTTACCTTATCGATTTTGAATGGGTTGCCGAACATGTGTTGTCTAACGGGCTGCGACTCGATCTCGCGCAGCTGCGGAGTCATACGCTTCAGATACTCCTGGTAGTTGCCCATCTGCGCCACCGGCATCGAATGCGCGCTGTCCTCGTCCACCAGCCGCGTATGCGCCAGCGAAGGTTGTAGGAAGTTGGCGCGCATGCGCACCACCTGTAAACATACATAGTCTTCAGTCAATAAAAATTCAATTATATAAAAATGAAATTGTTTACACTGTATTATAACATGTTCAAATCTTATAAAGTCGAAAAAAACACATTAGTATGTAAAATCTGAAACGGATTAGTTTCTACTAGTATCTAGGCAATCAAATGCATTATACCTTTGTTAAGCTCATCTTAGGGCCTTGCTGATTTATTTATTTTTTAAATCTTAATTTGATATTTTTTCAAATAGGAAATTAATTTATTTGTTACCAAACCGATCGTACCTGGTCCAAGAGATCTCTGCGTTGTATATCGAATGGGTTCCTGTAGGTGTGGGCCTGCGCCTTGTGCCGGCCGCGCGACAGTCCCACCACGAAGCCCCCGAACTCGTTCAGCTGGTCGCGCAGCGCGCTGAACTTGTCCTGCAGGGACGGGTGCGATGTCAGGTCCTTCTTCAGCGGCGATCGTGGCATTACGCGTACGCTCTCCGTCACCTGAAATATTATACATTTTTTGTCAAATGCTGTATTGGAATGCTTTCGAGCAATAGCTATTATTTACAGGACGCTTTATTTAGTTTTTAATTGATATCATTTAAAAATGTAAACATATTAATCTGGAGTGTAGAAACGTTTTAAAACAAATTACACTTCAAATTACCTTTTGATTATTCCCATTAGAGGCTTTATTGATGACGTCAGCACAGAGTTTCTCAAACTCCATTTTAGCTTGATTTTTCATTCTCTTCAAGTAATTTAAGACAGAAAAACTGAGGGAATTGTCTTGAGTATCCGGTATGAGACTTTGTACCAACGGCGCTGATGCCCCCATTTTCGTTAACGCCCTTCGAAGTGGCTGGAAATGATAAATATTTACTGTAGAAAAATCTTATTTAAACATTTTTAAAGACCAAACAATTTGTTCATTTTAAAATAAATTAAATAATTCATCTGGAATTTGAGTTACTATGCTAATAAGATCTTGGAAATATAAAAAAGAGTCTGCAAATTTAACAACTTACCACAACATAGTATGAAGGCATTCTGTCCAAATACTGTTGAAAAGCCATCTTCCATTCGGCGGTAGGTTTGCATCTGTGCACTTTGAACAGATCATCGAGCAGCGGCAGCAGAACGGGATAGTTGTACGGCAACACAAACAAATTGACGCACGTCAGATTTGTTGACGCCTTGAGGTAACCAAACGGGTGATTCACCTCAGAGTTTTTGCAGCCGCTGTTTGCGACGAAAACCTGTAATTATACATTTACAATTATTATTAAAGCAAAAAAAAAACATCAATCCCTTATGCCTACAAAACAAGTTATGTGCAATGTCAAAACAACCAAAATGAAGCATCCATTATACTTTTAAACAATTTTGTTGGAATGAAAATTGAGCTTATTGCCTCATCATCTGAAGTTCGGTATCTATCTCTGCAAGGGTTTTAATTCTAAACAATGTTTTAATGGCTAAAGGCAAAATCCATTGCGCTAAATATTTCCTATTAGATTCCTATAAAATCGCTACATCACGGTAATTTTTTTTTTTAAATAAATTCAATTATTGTAAAGTACCCACCTGCCAGCAAATAGTCGGTTGTTTCCTCGCTAGTATGAACTGTGTCAGTGGGCTCGGTTCCAGTTCGTATTTGTCAAAGGGCAAGTTGTCAATCACCATGGGCTCCTGACTGGAACACGTGAACTTGACCACGGGATGTGCGGACCGCGGGGGCTGGAAACGATAATACATATTACATCCTTTGCTAATAAAACCGACATCAAAAACATCCATCACTATAATCAAGTATGAATAATCTTTAAATTCTAATTTTTAAATTTTATTACCTGTTCCAAATATATTTTTATTATTTTAAGTTTCACACGAATGCAATAATGTTATAATATTTGTGTTAAAAATATAAGTATGAACTTAATGTAATTAACGTGATATCTTTATTGTGAAAAGCGCAAGATTTATGCTCATGCAACTATGTAAACAAACCAATAACAAATTATGTTTTGTTATATTTTATAATATAACCAACTTTTGTTGTTAACTTTCATCTTACTTACTAATATTATTAGTGCGAATGTTTAGATGGATGGATGGATGTTTGTTTGTAGGTATCTTCGTAACGGCTTAAGGGACTTCGCTGAAATTTGGCATAGATGTGAAACATATTTTGGAAAAACACATAGTCTGGAAGAACAATACTAATTATTTTTTTCAATAACGTGCGGACGGAGTCGCGGGCGACAGCTAGTAAACAAAATACTTACCAATGAGGTAGCATTGGGATCAGGTCGAAACGACTCGGGTATAGGCCAGAAGCCGACAGCGAAGCCCTTCTGCGACACTGTCCTGGGTACATATATGAGCCGGCGACAGGAATGCCAAGCCTGCGGAGCCCCGGAGCTCTGGTTCGGTGTAATCGTAGACTGGTACGGGCCGCCGTTCCATCGCTACAAGATTTTTTTTTAAATAAATGCATTAACTAAATTGACGCTTCAACAGTATTATTACAGCCTACAAATTATAAAAATACGGTAAATAAAATAAGTATAACTTTAATAGTCACTAAATAAAACCAGAGATTGTAAGTTCATTACTCTGCATAAATGGTCACATTAAAATGCTGCCAAAGAAAAAAAAGAGCAGATATTTAAAGCAGTCTATAGTAAGATTTCAGTTAAGAAATGTATTTAAAATTAAATTTTTCCTTACCCCATTTCTTTCGGCTTCACCTTCAATGTCTTTATCTACTTCATGTGTAAGATCGTCAGTTTGTTCTGTGCCATCTCTATTGTTGGTGCCATCAATGGGTGGTGGATCGGGACCAATCTTCTCAAAATTAATCACCACACCACTTTGTACCTTCTGCACTAAACTGTCGATGCACTGCATAAGCATGCGGTGAGAGGTGATGCAATATGATCGTCCTAAAAGATTTTACAAATTATATACTTTTAATTATTTTACACATAAAGTGAGCTTAGAAAAGTTAGTCATCTGGCATATTTAAACAATTTATGGTAAACTAGTAAACTAATCAACCTTAAACTTGTCCTTTAAACGTGAATAGCTTTTTTTGTAGTCTGTACGCTTTAATAAGTCACAACTTTTGATTAAGTTATTGTCACTTCAAGTAAACAACATAATCAATCAACTACCTACCTACTAACTCTTAACTGAAGTACCAACATATAAAAAATTATATGATTACATTGACTATATCAAGGAACAACTTCCATAAAAGAACAGTCTTCTAATTAACATATGTGTTACTAAATGATTCATTGTATATAAATATTATTATGTGACCAAATCACATGTAACTAGAAATTATCATTGTCACAAATTACATCCATATTTGAAATTCATTTACTCTCTTGTTCTATACAAATTTATTATATTTATTGAAAATCCCTTAAGTTAGAAAGTTAAAAGCTATAGACAGATAATATGATAAAGGATCTTTATTCAAAAAGTGTTATTATTTGTAATCCTAAAGTTTTATAACTTCTTATAGTAAACAAAAACCTATTAAACTTTTAAGTTACACAAACGTCAAAATAGAGAAATAAGAGTCAAAGGGAATGTAAACATGTCCTGCATAAATAGAAACATAAATCAGCAAAATAGTATAAAAGTATAAAAAACTTGTTTGTGTTACTGTAAGGCAGCAAAATTGAATAAATTAAAATACCATTTTCATACACTCAGTTATTGTTTTTTTTTTCTTTAACAAATAACCTAGACTTTATCACATACTCATAAAGTAGTGTCAGAAAGATGATACTCTATAGTTTTAGTAGATGTCTATTTACCCCTTACTCTTGAAGGCTATTGCGGCTATTATAAGTTTAAACACTTTGAATACTTATGATAAACTTACTAGTTTAAACAGAATGTAATCGTAAACTTATATTTACATTTATTACATATGATTCCAATTTAAACCATAGACAAACTGCTTTACACTAAAACTCAAAAATTCTAAAATATCTCCTTTATATCCTATATAATGTAAGCAACCCTCAATTTACAATTTCACTTCACTTTATCTCACAATTTTCACAAATTAAACTTTAGTAATACCATGTATGGAATTTGACATTCCTTTGATTACTTAACATTAACTTTGTATTTAAAAGAACGATAAATAATTCACTGCTGTCTAAAACATATAAAAATGCTATTTAGATTTATTGATAAAGATCATTTATATTAATTTAATAAATTTAACATAGATTTACTTTTAGAACCAGATAACAAATAGTAAATAGGAAAAGATATTTACTACCCATAAAATATGAAGATTCAACAATTCATACCATAAAAACAATTTAGGTCAAATGCCTCCTGTAACAAAGTTACTAAACTCTCATAAACAAAATATGCTTCTAAATGCAAACATTATCATAATTTATCTTAGCCCATAGTTTATTAGAGCTTGTTCAAACCAATGTCATGTCATTTAGCCCATTACAGTCCAGATATCAAGTCAATGACATTTTATTGCACAACACAAATATTCAGTCTAGTCTATGATCAAACATTAGCAAGATTGCATCAAATCTCTTTGTATGATTATATCAGCCAGCATCAACACATACACTTAAAAAAAGATAAAAAAAATATACCAAGCTGCAATTGGGCAAACAGGTCACCAGCTGTTCAGTGACCATAGATATATCTGCAACAATATATTTTGTTGCAAATGTATTGCCCACCTTTATTGGACTAAGGTGGGGATAGATTTAAATAGAAAATTTCCTTTTCCTATTTATTCACTTCCCTAATATTTTTTGTTAATTTGATTATTAGATAAATATACTTACCACCAGTAACTTCACACATAGCATCAATAGGTGATGAGTCAGAGGGCACCAAGCCAGTGTCTCTCTCGACCGCTGGTGTTCCAGACAACCTTAGCACCAAAGAGAACAGTCGTTGGTCCCATCGGAATGGTTCTCGAGTCAGTTCAGATCCAGGTATTGGACAGTTCATCGGCAGATTAAACTGAAAATACAAAAAGTTTTAGTTTCTACAACTAATTCATTATTTCCTACAAAATAGCATACTTTCGAAGTATCATGTCACCTTTTTACTGTAAGAAACAAAATGTTATCAAATTATATTTGATACTTAGCAAGATACCACTAAAACATGTTAGAAGTACTTATCAAAGTATCATGGAAAATGAAACATAAAATTTAAAACTAAATGTAAACATTGACACATATTCTGTAATTTTTCCTTATACTTGCTTATTCCAATTAGAATAAAAAAAGATTATTTGATATTTTGTAAAAGGATACTTGAAGTTATTTAAAAGCAAAACAAAGTTAAGTGAAATAAAAACTAAAAAAAAAAACTAGATAATAAAAGTAAGGATGGTGAACCCACAAACCGTTGCTTGCTTCAACCACAAGATAAGATATGACAAATATTTTAATGTTGAAATAGGAGGCCACCTTGACAAAGTTTAAAAACTAAGTGATTTGTGTGTTTGTACATTTTGACAATTTAAGAGATATTTCAAAATTTTCCTTAGTGTAAATTAGGTTTTCTAAACTAACTCATTTATAGAAATTATAACAAAAATTAGATACAAATTGTGTTCATATGCACTTATGTTGAAGGCCTAATCACTTTGGCCCCATTTTTACAAATGTAAACAACTTAATTATTAAATCAATTCTAATTGGAATTGAAATCAATTCAAATATTTTTTAAAGTATGTGATGTATACTTACTTCCTCATGAATACCAGCATTGCTAGAAAGTTTTCCTCCATCAGTAATAACAACTATTACTGAAGGCTCAAGGTAAAATGGACATCTACCTTGTCCATATGTGTCAATACCAGTTTGCATGCGGTTTATGTTTAGGACATCAAATGCATGTTTTAATGCAGCACCCATGGTGGTCAAGCCAAGGCATTGTAAATTCTTTAATTCATTAATAAAGGTTGCTAAATTCTCCTTCCAACCTGCCTGTAATTATAATTTTATCAATAAATCATTTTTTCACAGTTGTTTTTTTCATAAAGCGCATTAAATTTTATTTAAAAGTAATACATGTAGTACTGAATACAGATTATGATTAATAATAACATTGTATCGTAACACGGATATCTAGAATTTCGTATTTCCCCCCAATTCGCCATTTCGTTGTGATTCGCCTCAACCAATAGGAGTGCGACGAGAACGCAGTCGCGAGCGCTATCGCGAACGCAGCAACGGCGGAGGATCGTCCTGTTTACGTCGTGCTGTATATTTCAGTAAAATTCGCACAATCAAAGTATGTAAATGTTCTGGATTGCAGATATCAGTGCTACATGTATGGACTCTACTAAGCCGGCGTTTAAGTATTTATGGATGCTTCAATTACAAGAAAATCTACCGAAACGTGTTTACTCTGATATACTAACCTTGATGTTCGCGGGTGGCTCTTCGAAAGTTAGAAGCATATACCTATCGCCTCTGCTTTCAGGAGATCGTTGACGAACCTAAGAAACGAAATGAATAACTTCAATACACTAACACGCGATAAACAAATCGATCACAAAAATGAAACGGTTGAAGAGTCGATGACACTGCACGTACCTTTACGAACGTTTCCACAGCGCCCTTGGCTACATCGAGCAACGTTGGGCGTCCGCCCAAATAAGCTCTTTGGTTCATAGAAGCTGATGTATCTATTAAAAAGACTATTATAGTCATCGTGAAAAATTTCCTAAATATCTAAATACATTAAAATATGCGCACGCTATTATGAACTAAGAACAAAAATGGCCGCTACATTGTACGCAGACTCGCTGAGAGGCGACCGTCCGACAGCCGCTTCGACGAGCAGCTGAACAAGCTACGCCACGAAGACTCCAAAAGTACCACGTGACCTAATCATACGTTCGGTTATTCTCGGTCTCCAATGGAAAAACGTTCGGCAAAGATCGTGGGCTAGCTGCAAAGTTGCCACTATTAACAAAAATGTCTGCCTAAAAGCATTTTGTCCATTTGCCGAATAGTTTTTATTTGTAAAAATAAATAAAGCCTTTGTATCATTAAATCGTAAATAGAAAATTATTTATAGTTTTATCATAAACTCCAACCTTTCCCTTTTTAACCAAAGTTAAAGATGTAATATAAATGTAACACAATACTAACAACATATTTACAATGCATTATTATTTCTTTCGTTTTTGTTATTTTTCTACTAACGTTAAGAAGTGTACTTCTTTTCAGTGGATATGTGTTATCATGTAAATTGTGATACCTTGTCAGTAATTTCGCAGCGTTTTAAAGATGGGAAATGGGGACAAAAATTACATAAAATATGGGAGCTTTGTATGTTCGGGTAACACTGCATTGCATGTATGTGTTATAAATGCGTAATGAAATGAGTGATTCAATTTATAATAAACTTATATGATCCATTAATTTTCTCTCCTAAATTTACAAAATAATTTTATAACTCCTGTGTTGAAATACGGTTCACAGATTGTGACTTATTTGATAATATGTTTAAAAATAATTATGACGTGCCAGAAAAGGGCGGCATTTTCAAACCACTCAAACATTCTTTTGTACATAAATATTTATTTGTCACATCTAATTGATGTTCACTTGACATTACAGGACCCATAATTGTGTTAAAAATAAAACTCTTTTATGGTATCTACTTGTGCGATTTTAATTCTTCAAATAGGTATAACCCGAATTAATGTTCAAACTTCACTAGTAATAGTTTGTACTATATGTGATAAATATTTTGTAATCTAATTTTTTACTTTATGTTTTCGTTTATTTGATTGTACTATTTATTTTACATCAAACCATGTTTGTGATACTTCAACCTAAACGTAGATAAATTATGATTATTTCATTGCAGTAAAAGTAACGTGTCGCAGATAATCGAGCTTCAGGTTGCCATTTTTATTTATAGCAATGTAATGAATTAAAGAAATGAGATTTAACGTAACACCAGGTACCAACAAAAATTATTTTCTTTTCAGTTAAATAAGAATAGCAATCTGTAGTTCTGCGCATTCTAGTAAGATTACACAGAAAGTGAGAGTTAATTAAGTCCGTTGGCTTATGAACATCAGATGTAAAAAAGTAAACCTATTGTCTGTCAGTGTCATTATGCACAAACTAAGAATTTGGTTCAATATTTGTTGAATAATATAAATGTAGGGTTAGCCCGTGAACGAAGAGATATCTGTAGAATGTTATGGAAGAAGTGAGAGAGACATGTCCTGCCACACCTGTCTCGCTTCTGCCGCGGGCAAAGGGAAAAAAAACGTGATTTTGTTTACCTCTTCGGGCATAATGGTATAATTTAATCGTTATTAGCATAAGCCCGAAACGGTTGTTTTAGTTTGTAGTATTTAAGTAGGCACCTAACATTTTGTTATATTTTTACTGACATCTATAAGATTTACCCTGAGTTTTTACCGCCAAGACATCAATACAAAAACATACATGTATCATTGTCTTTTTGGAAAAGAATGAGAGGTAGGAGCGATTTTTAGTTCTCCCGTTATTAAATTAAAGATGAATAAAGATGTGATATGAGATGTTTTAAAGTTAGCTGATCGTTTCTTGCGGTATCATTTATAAACTTCAACATTGTGCGACTATTTGAGAAAAATATAGCTTCGTACAGTAATATAACAGCTTTTAATTACCTTCGAAAAATGTTCAATTATAGTTTAAGTTTATTATAATACATTTTTCTGAACAATATAGGTAAGCCTATATTACATTATATTGCTATTATGTAAATTTCAATAGCTCAATAAACATGAAATTTAAATCGTCATGCGATATAGTTACCGCGGTTTTCCAAAGCCAAAATCTACGTTTAAAACATATTGTTCTCTCTTTTTTCAACAAAGATAATGGCAGTGATGACGATATGTTTTATACAGAGATCTTGAGAAATGAAAAAAAGAAACCCACTGTTAGTTAAGTTTAAAGATTTCCTAATAAAATAAAGTATTTCAGTCTTCGACAATTTAAAAACGATACTCGAGGTACTCGTTTAAAAGGATATTTAGCAGATATTCACAGCGCATGTTGACCGCAGTAGACCATACGCAGGGAACGCCCTTTACCTTGATCCCATTACATGTTGGAGACAGCGCTGGATTACAAGCTGTTCTATTAAATTTTGATACGAATTGAAGGTATGTTGTAAGGTTGTACGTAACATTGTAAACACGTCATTTAAACGACGTTCGTGTGTCCTCCTCGCGTGGGAGAAACAGGGGGAGGGAATCTGGGGTGGCGATATAAATAAAATGTTTCTTCAAAGATTTTACTAAACATTAAGCAAATTGTCTATATTTGTGATACTTTTTAGTATAAATGAAAGGTTAATAGTATGTAAATGATGCCTATTAATGTTTTCTTAAAATCACAACTGGTTTTCAAAATAAAAAATAGGTTATAGGTTCAGTAACAAAGAGATCTCATTTTAGACAAAGGAAGAGGAGAAAAAAAATATTCGATGAAGAATTTAACCATAAAGAAGCATAATCAATAGATAGCGTTGCATTTCCATCCATTGCTTATTAAGTTCCCCAATCTACAGTCCTTTCATAGTTGAACGCAGCAATGCATATGCATACATTATTGCTTGAGGCAGAAATAAACGCCGCGGTGGCACACTTCTCGTAGACTTCCCTGCAAGTGACGTATACATGATATCTATCGACTATTTATATTATTTGGTATAATTTTCGTTTGCGTTACAAAGTGAATATTTATGAAAAATAATGATTAATGGGAAATTATAATTTATTACAAATTGATATGCATTCGTTTCATTACTTTACAAAGCAAACGTAACGCTGTTTATCCTTGGACTTGGGATTTCAGTTTCTATTTACTCGTTATAAGGCAGATGACCAGTGAAACAATATCTTTATAATATTACATATAATTTAAAAAAAACTATGTTTTGGCTAATAGCCATTGTTGAACTGGAGGAGGCTTTCTGTACTTTAGCAGATTGTTTGGTGGCCGAGCGCCAATTGCACGATATGCGAACTTCCATAGGAACGACTTATTTCAAGGTTTCCTAAAGCGGAACCTCAATTCTTGTTGCCATGGTTACGTTACCGAATCGAAATGCAACTCAGCTTTAAGGCTGCTTCGCCTTCGTTTTTTCACCATAAGGTGCCAAACGTGCAACCACCGTGAATTCGCCTTAATAGCGAAGCAACCGCTGCCCATAGAAATCCACAATTGTCAAAAATTTGATCGCCTAAAGCTTTATTGTCATTTAATCCATTTCGTTTTCTTTGAATGAATAAGAAACAATTACTCTTAAATTTATTATAACGATAGTGGTTCAGTTAGAAAGTCAATCAGAGAAGATCGACTTTACGACTTAATGAACGACAGTCGTCCATATTAGACTATAGAGAAATATACATACGAAGACTAAGATTTAGTTTTATAGTTACTAAACGACAGACTTGTCTTACACATACTCACTAAGAAATTGTTACGTACTTGTGCTTACTGCATAGTATACCGCCCGTGTTTTTAAGGATTTAATTTTTATGGAGCTTCATACATACGTAGTTTGATCTCCACTTGTGTCAGTCATCGTTCACAAGGCCATGGTGAAGTTATGTTTGAAAAATGCATTGCATGACGTGTTATGTATTATAATTCAACAAATGCTTTATGGATCCAAGATTTGTACGATATAGTTTTCTCTCAATTTAGTTTCAAGAAGAGAGAATAGATCTTTTTTTCACGTATTATCTTCCACTCGTCATATTATTATCCGGTTACATAGTGAAAATCATTGCATCTGTTCTGCAACTGGCTTTGACGTGTATGAAATTTCCAACGTTCGATTCTCAATTAAGTAAAATTTAATAACAAGATTACTTTTCGATTTAGTAAATGATAAATATATTTTTGTCGATATCAATTCAACTAGTTATTTATGCAAAGAAATCAATAAGGCCGACTGACTGTACCATTTAAACACTCAGAGAAGAGTACAAACAAAATATCACTCCATCTACGTCTAGTATATGTATAGGTATCTACAAAAATACGTACATACCCGCGATAATCCGGAGGCTACTCCGGCAGGCTACAAGAACGAAAGAAAATAATTTTCAAGAATTTGTTAAAACAATAAATAGTTTTTTATACTTATAAATATTGAGTTTCGCTTCTAACATAATCTGCGGCTATTATGCAGATAAATTGTCGTAAATAGGTCGTTTGACGCCGCGAACTAAGCTTAGAATTTTAGCGCAATATTGTACCGTGTCATTATAACATTACTTATGTTAAATAGTAAAAGTTATTAAGCGAACATAAAATGAATGCTATTTTTTCCTGAATACTAAAAAGTATAAATCAAGTTATTGAAAAAGTTATTGGCGCAGCATGCTTCGGTAACTTAATCTATAAATAGATTCTAGTTATAGATAGATAGATAATTACGGTAGGTACGATACAACTAAGCATTATTAATGCAAAAACTCCAACCTGTCTACTGTGCACTATCTATTTCTTACCCCGCACAAGTTAGATAGCATATCATATCTGTAAGCATTAGAATAGCTATAAGTCAGCGTGGGCAAAATGTCCTGATGATCTTCCAATAGCTTTACAGAGTTGACGGTTAATTACAAGAGATTGAAATAGGTTCAATATTTTCCTTTTCTTAATAATCACAGTTTGCCTTGAAGGCGTATTCACACTTTCACCAGACTTAGGTAAAAGACTGTAGAAGGTAATGCAGAATGCGCTAAGCTCATGAGTCTTTAAATTAAGATCAGGGAGTTTATTTGGCTAAAGTTAATCCTTTATAGTTTTAGTGTTAAGTGTACAACGGGCAGGTATGAAAGGATGGCTAAAAACCTCGTACAAAGAATAATTATACTGATTCAGGTTTCATTTGTAGAGCGGGACAATAATCGTCATAGCGTTGTTCGTAAAATAAATATAAGCCAACATTTTTATAATCTTGTTTATTTTTTAGTTATATGAATATTACTCGATTTCAACTTTTTTTGCAAAATATTACATTATTTTATGAAGTAAATTCTTCGAAAACGTAACGTTTTAACCATCTGTCAGTCTTAGTTGTCAAACCTGGCCAAACCTGTTGCATCGATTTTCGTTGCCGAACGTACATTGTATAGTGTTGTTAAATATTTTATTGATTTTCCTATTCCTATGGAAAATTGTTATTGGAGAATGTGAATAAAGTTTTATCTATTACAAAACAAATAGCGCAAGAACAAGATATTGTTTCAAAATGGATGCAGTATTGCAAAAGTTCAATTCTGTTCTTTTTTATGATGATCCTAGATCTGCTGATCATGAAACCTTATACAAGAATTGGGGAAAATATGGAAACCAAGAAGAAAGACGAAAGGAGATTTTGAATTTACAGAAAGGGTAAAATATGTTGTAATTTTTAAAGAACAATGCAGTGGTTTTCATTATACCTAAAAGTGAATAATTGGTTGAAATTTTTTGAGCCCGAGTATTTGAGAATCAGTGGTCATCTGTTATTAAATTAGTTTTTATAAATTTACAATTATAACCATAAAATGTTTTTGGAAAAATCTGATCATAGAAGAGAAATTAAGTTTATTGTCTTATAAAGTATTTGAATTTGGATTATTATTTTTTTTTAACTATCTCTTGCAGGGGCAGAAATGATAGCCTTGATCAATTTAGAGGAATATTGGATTTTTCAAGGAATACTGTTGGTAATTCAGCACACAGATATGAAAGGGTAATACATACATTACTATTTTCTTTAGTTTTCTATTAAAAAACATTCAAGAATTGCTACTACCTTACCAAAATTATAAATGTGAATGTCTAGATGGATGGATGGATGGATGTTTTTTTAAGGTATCTCTGGAACAGCTGCATGGATCTCGCAGAAATTTGGCATGGATACATTGCCTGGAAGAACACATAGGCTACTAATTATGTTTTTTTTTCACTGCTAGTAGCAAATAAATTAATGTTAATTTAATTAATAATTGAAATCAATTAGTTTAACATTTTTATTCCACTTTTGTAGCAGCCCGCCTATAGGCCAAATATCTATGTTGCTGGTTTTAATAAAGCCCCGCCCACCTATAAGAATGTTCTAATGATGTCAGAATGGATGGTTGAGAGGCCAGAAGATTTCAATGAAAATTGGTTTGTAGTACCATGCCCTAAAGGTATCAGAGTACTCATTGTTTCCGATAGAGTAAGTAATAACAATTTATTTACAACTAGTGTAGTATAAACTCAGGATGCATATAATATTAGAAAAAATCGTCATATACTTCCAGAATATGATATATTTGCATCGATAATAAAAACTTGTTTTAAAACTTTTCTGTTCATCTCTCTGTCCCTAAATCTGCATTTGTTCAGTTTAATCTCTGAAACAATTGTCAGATTTTGACAGGACTTAGCTTATGTGTGTTACTTTATTTTATTCTTCTTCTTTTATTGTTCTAGAATCCCTTTTTATATATGCATTAGAAAAATTTCTGTTGTATTTTTCAGGGCATTACTAAACTTTATGGCAAACATGGTCAATTTATAAAGGAATTGCGCACAGTTTTGCCGGGAGGCAATACTGGCGATTATGTCCTTAGAAGTGGAAACTTCTCTGTATTGGATGGATTTTATTTAGAAAAAAGTAATACACTTTTTGTGCTGGACCTTCTCGCTTGGAATAGTCAGCCAATGACCAACGGAGAGGTAAGCAGTTTTATAACTTAACTTTTAAAGAATAAATCATCGAATAATTATTAAATGGTGACAGATTTTGCAGTTAATTTTTTTTTAATTATGATTTCTTATTTATGTTACATAAAAATACTGATATAAAATTTATTTAAAATTTCAGGCTCAATTTAGACAGTTTTGGTTGCAAACGCATCTACTGGAAATTGAGGGATTACAAACAATCTCGAAGAAAAACAACATTAAGATTAAACTCTTACCTTCTGTGCCATGCTACAGAGACTACTTTAATGGGTAAGTTTCCTTTCCAGGGGAGTAAGGCAATGACAATTTGTGTCACTTCCCTTATTGCAACTTGCTTATATGAACACATTTAGTGCCAGAGATTCTGTGAGATTCTTTGACAAGTTCAATTTCATACTATAAAATTGTAGTAGAATTAAAAATGTTCAATATTTTAAAGTATAATTTTATTATAACAGGTTTATGATGAAGTATCCACATTTTGAATCTAACTTTCCTCCGTTGGATGGATTGTTGTTCTATCACAAACTGGCTAACTACTCTGCCGGACAAACTCCGCTTGTTGGCTGGCTCTATCCTTACATGGTGAGGGAAGTGTTGGGATATGGTAAGTGTTTTGAAATATACAGGGCTTGACATTGTTGGATAGTCTAGAAATTATGGAATTATTATGATTGCATCGTCAATCAAATGAATCTTTTTAAATACGGAATACAATTAAACTTTATCTTGAATTTGAACACTGTACTCTTATTAAGTCTTCAGACATAATAACTAATTTTATAGAAAATTTATTATAATAAATTTAAATGTATTTGACTATTGATTTCTGTTATGTAATATATAGAATTATTCAGTTTGTAAATAATTAAACTTACTTGATGATATGATGGTACTTTATTGATTCTGTATTGTTACTTTACTTAATTTTCAGATATAGCAGTGAATCCTATATATATGAGAGAAAGACCTCGAACTTATATAGATCAAGCGACTTTCATACAAGAATTTACACAAGATTCACACAAGAAAAGGCGCAATAACCGAAATGCATCGACTTCTATGGAGACCGAAACTGTTAAAGAGGTATTTTAAATATAATATTTTATTTGTGATTTCTGCATATTATAGCACAGAAACTTAATAAAAGCAAAAAAAAAACCTTTTGGTGTCATGCGGTAAAAAATATGATTAAAATTATGTTCATATTGAAATCATTGGTGGACAGTCAGCTTTTTTCATTTTTAAAAAATTAATTGCTACTTATTGGAAGGTAATGTAATATAATCAAGTGAATGTATCAATGATTAATTATTTTCGAGATGACGTCACCATCGGCCATATATTTACCGATTGGTGAGCAATGGCAAGTGAGTGCGATAAAAACCAGTGGCACCGAGTTTTTGTTCGAGGTGAGACGTTCGAGGCATGATATATGTAAACCATATTATATACTGCTATATGTTTAGATGTCAATTATATATAAAGGGCCGCATAGTCCCTTTGTGTCATGATTTAAATTCTAGGCAAGATAACGCGTGGCTCATGCGAATGACTTTGTCATTATGTTGTTTGGCACAAAGAGATTAGTATTGCGTTCAATGAGAAGAATGCAGTTGTTTTTTATTTTTTTATTTTGGAAGTGGCTTTGCGAAAGGTGTTTTGTTATGAGCCGTTTTTATTTTGCTCCAGTTATTTTTGGTTATTTAAATTCTTGTCAATTATGAAAAATTAATGGTTCTTATAAATGTCTATTGCAATTGCATGGTTTGTATTGTCTTCATTGTTTAGATTGCAAAAACTATCAATTGCATTTATGTCTTTGTATGAAGTTATATATAACTAGCGGTCGCCCTCGATTTCGTCTGCGAAGGATAAAAAAAATAGCCTATGACATTCCCGTATACATCAGTTATGTTATCGTCACAGTCAATATCGGCCCCGCAGTTTCTGAGAGAAATTGATTTTTTATTATTTAGCACTACATGATATTATGATTTTATTATAGTTCATACAGACACTATAATTATAGTTATTGTATAGATTCCTTTAAGGGGTTTTAGTGTCACGGAGTATCTTGCTTACCATATTGTGGAAACCAAATTTGGTATATGGACAATATACAGGGTGTTCCTTAAGTGTTGGATCAAAAGTTTTATGAGAGTTGAGGAGTTCTCTTGAATTAGTTCAGCTATTTTAATGAGTCTATAATATATTTTTTTTTATGAAAAAATTGCTTTCACATGTTGTAATTAGTTGGTGTTGTATTTTTAATATCCATTTTTTTTATCTTGATCTTTACCAGATCTAAAGATTTTCTCACGTTGTTCGTATGTCTAAATGTTTGATGTTGTTGCTATAGTTATTTAAATAAATTGTTAGTCGACAAGTAAATTTATGTATTTCAGATAGAAACACCTAAACCAATGCCGGTGCAGGAACAACAACAACAACCCCGGAACAGATATTACTAGAAAACAGTTGTAATATAATAACACATTTTTATTACTTATTCATATTAGTTATGTATATGCGAAGAAATTCATGTATGCTACATAGTTTGACGACTTTAAATACAAGACTATGTGTGACTATGTTTATTAAACTATTCAAACTTTCATGAGACATTATAATAAACTTATATAAATACGGATAAAACACTCACGTATGGTCATCCGGTGGCGGCACCGACTTGTTTTGAGCCCATCCTGGCCCTTCATCAGGGTGAGTGTGACTGGTATTATTTCGCAGACGCGGCCCCCAGCTCGCTGATGAGCTGTTTTAAGACTAGTTTCTATGTAAATTAATAAAAAAAAATATGTGTATTAAAACTAACGCGCACTTAGCAGCGCATTGCATTTTTTGTGGAATGAAAGGGTCTCTTGGGAGGAGAAACTAGTATATAGCAGTTCTAATTATGAGTTTTGTATACGACATATAGAAATAATTTGGGTGTTAAAATTAAGTAGTAAGACTGTAACATATGTTTTTATTTTCTGGCAAAAACACTTGGGTTGATTTTTATTTTGTTTTCACCATTTTTTTTTCGTAATTTTTTGGAATATTAATGACCATATGTAATTTTATAAATACATAGTTTTTAGCGATGTTTTGTTACAAATACGTTGACATATTTTGGTTATGTAAAGGAATTCTATTTTTAATCTGTAAATGTTAGACTAGATATGTTATAACGTAGTTAAAAAGTTTGTAAGCTATTCTATGATAGATTCGGAATTATAAACATCGATGTTTTTAGCTACATTTAGCTATATCTACTCTTAATATAATCATATATGTAATGTTTCTATGGAATAAATGGTAATCAATTCAAAAGGGTGTTATTTTTAGCTGTTACTACATAGATTAATAACTTTTCATATTATTTTTTTGAGTTGTGTAGAAGACAACAACAATAATCACGCCCATAACCTAGAGAGGTAGGCAGAGACCAATATCCATTTAGAGTGGTCCTAACACAACTCTCTCGTTTCTTTGCTTGAGGAATATGTAATTGCTTATATAATTGCATAAAATTGCTTGCTATAAGGAGGAAAAATCAATATTAATATAAACTAATGTCTGACACAAAATATTCTTTGTATAAATCTTACAAAAAACCTGCTTTTTTATACATATTATTAATGTAAAAATCAGTATTTGCCATCTTTATAATTGATTTAATAAAATGAAACATGTTTTTGTACAAGTGGAAACCCGCTGTTATAAAAACATTCTCATACTCAGAATTACGCGTTATTCGTTTCTTCCATTTCTAATTAAATGACCAAGTATTCGGATCAGTTTGATCCCTTGTCATGTTAAATGAAATAGGGTCGATTAATTTTATCCGTTGAAGTTATCTATCCAAAATAGCTACGATAAAATTGTTTATTAGTGTCAAAAACGTATAATTAAAAAAAATATGATACATTAGTAAACATTTTAGGCATCAAACAGTTTAATAACCGTAATAAATATCTTAGAAGATTTCCTTTCATATATAGTCGACAAACAGTCGTTAAGATTTTATTGCGTCTATACATATTGCTAAATTAGTATTTTTTTCATCTCCAAGCCTGTGTTAATAGCCAACTTAATTATTAATAGCTATAATTCAATATATTCTAGACGACCTCGCTTCAAGGTAAGAAATGTTACACTGCGAGTCCTAGGATAAATTTTCACTTCACTTTCACTAGAATTTAAAGTATTTGTTAAGGGATTGTAGTTATAGTATAGTGTATATATATATATATATATATATATATATATATATATATATATATATATATATAGTTATAGGAAGTTATAGGGATTTTTTATTTAATTATCGTAGATGACAGGCGGGATGTTAATACTAAAGGTACGCGCCCAATGACCCGCGCGGTACGCACACGGCCCGCAACGGATTTTAGTTAGCTCTGTACGATTTTACATAGCACTGCGTCCATCCGCGCCGCCCGCATCGAAAGACAAAGCGATTTGCAACTAAGAAAGGCGTATTTTAATGGGGTTCTTTTAACCCTCCTTTTATACTCATTGGGGCCTTCTGCACTGTATTAGCTGCACTAACTTGTATGTGCAATTTCAAAATATAATTATCGATTTTTTCAAGTTTGAAGTTCATCGGTTTAAAGCTGGCTGGTAAGTCATTGTGATGTTCATTGTTGCTCACCGTTAATTAGTGTACTTTTAATAAGAATAATAGATTTTCAAAACACGTTTTTTAATGTACTGTACCTTTTATATCTGGTACCTTTGTTTATTTGGGTGGATAAGATTTTTCATAGCGCATACTAGGACAAAAATACGTTTACATGGAACTGTTCGAAATTAGTTTTTGTGATTGCATTATTTTTAATATGCAAAGCCTTTGTGGGATAGAGCGGTTCACAAAATGTTTATTCAATGATATGAAATAACGTATTCATAAAATGCATTCAGTTCTACATAAGGTGGGTTCATATCCATAAAATCGTTGGTTTCTGCGACCAAAATTTATGTATAAAACATATTGTTATCTCTGTTTTGTCAAAGAGTAAGAAAGGGATGACGATATTTTTATACAGGGATTTAAGTCAGAAACAAACAATACGTTAGGAACCTACATAATATAAATCATCGGATGTGAGAACATGTTTTCTCAGTATTAGCATAAACTCTGAAATTACGGCAAATTATTTCGTCTACAGTATTATGCGGTGAAAATAATAATTTGCATATAAATAAAGTTTTAAATAAGCTTGTTATTTTACGTTGTTCCACGTCGTACTTTTGTCATTACAGCAAACATTCTTGTTTTACGATTCTCAGTGGTAATACATTTTTAACGTTAATTATATTTCAAACTACTTTGCGAGTTTATTCGTTACATACAAAAAAATATTTCCACTTTATAATATTAGTAGATTAGTTAAGTTTACGAAGTTTTTAGATTATTATTGCATATACATACATACTAGTTTGTGTATAATGTTGAAATTGTATACCATGAGTAGAAAGTTAGATCCTTGTGGGACGTTTATGCCCAGCAGTGGGCTGAAGAGAGAGTGAAAGAGAAAAATAGAAATCAATGCACGTTAAAATTATTAAATCTAATAAAATTAAATCCAAGTTGAATTTGGATATCAAAAAAGGTAACGAAGGTTATAAACCGATTAAACTTAGCCTAATTTAATTGTCAATTAATTTTTATTCCTAACATTCTATTTCGACTGAGATCTAACACACTCGCTGTTCAGTTGTGATAATGCAATAAATCAAGAATATTTTACATATTCACGTTAAATGAATCCAACCCTCGTCGTTTTTGATGTGAAATATAACTGTTTTAGCGTATAAATATTATACTTTTTGCGTACATTTAATATTTTAGATTGAGTAATTTTTAATCGTGTTGAGTAAAAAGTTATGACCCAAGACTACTTATGCCTTAAACGTCCCTAAGTCCATGTGATATAGATAAATCAGGATATTCATTCTGTGATAAACAGCGATTTAGTTTCAATATTTAAACTTTACTATATCTAATCTAATAATATAAAATTCTCAAGTCAATGTTAGTAGGAGCGTCTGTGGCTCAGTGGTCAAGCACTTGGCCTGCAATCTGCAGGTCCTGGGTTCGAATCCCGCCATGTACCAATGTGTTTTTCGATTTCCGATTTACATATGTACATTTATACGACGTTCTTACGGTGAAGGAAAACATCGTAATGCAACCTGCACATATCTGAGAAGAAATTCAAAGATATGTGTGAAGTGAACCAACCCGCACTTGGCCAGCGTAGTTGACTCACCCTTAACTTAGGGTAGGCTCCAATCCCTTCGGTTGGGACGTATAGTGAGCTGATGATGAATGTTAGTAACCAAACTCCTCTGAAACGGCATGATCGATTTTTATGAAATTTTATAAGCATATCCAGAAGGTCTGAGGGTCGGTTCCTACATTTTTAATGTCACGCTGACGGAGTCGCGGGCGACTTCTAGTTTCAATATATAATTAGAGCAATCACTTCAATGTAATTAAAACATATCTATAACTAGTTTAAATGTTAGACTTAACCATAGGTATCTAATACTAGACAATATTAAATTCCACTAGCATTCTCGTATCTAAAATATTCTAGATAGGGAATGTTATTTAGCAGTTGTTCAGAACAGCTGGCCATGTTCCACCACAAGCGTTTCCTAAACATTCTCTCTACTACAGCTTCAAAACACTGATTTAAGTCGAATTACGTAACACGTCTACAGTAATACTGTTATTTTGTTACTTTAATTATTTGAAAAAAAAAATATTCATATAAAATTTTAAATTACTACTTAACTATTGTAATACATGTAATTGACAAAATTTAACCAATTTGACTATATTTACCACATTTTTTAAAAATCACAATCTCGCAATTTAGGATATTTAGTTCTTTTCATTTATGTCTATAAAAATC